TGAGAATAGCTAGGTAAGTACCTATCAGAAATACACCTTCAGAAAAGGAAAATTATAACATTTGACCAATTCACAACTGTTTGTCCAATTTCTGTTCATGTGATATCTTTGTGATCCCTACAAAATTTACCAAAGCATAATTTTTGAAGTGGTATATTTTAATGTTGTTGTTATCTTGAAATATTAATATCTTATTACATCCCATAATCTCTGGCTAGTGATTTCAGCTTATTAGATTTGGAAGAGCCACTGCAAGTCAGAGTGGATGGATGACATCTTCCTCCATTTCATTTATTTCCTTTGTGGTTGAGGGATTTCACATCTTGCTTTAGCAGCAACTAAGGGTAACCTTGCTTTTCATAAGTGTGCCATTTTGAAGAATCTTCACATTTATCCATGAGTTTGAGTGTAGTCTTCTTTCATTGAAATGATATATTTATTGCACTGTGCATTTTGGTCTTAATATCTGTATTGATAGTTTAGACCAATACAAATCTTGCATTTTTTTTATGCATCTGCCCAGTTGCTGATAACTTTGAGCGTTGGTGGAAGATTTCTGTCTATAGATGATTTCCTTCTTGGGAATTTTTTGGGAACCATGAAAAATTAAGAGGGGCATTTCTTGTATTACTATACTTATAAACTGTATAAAAAATTTTGTTTAGTTTTATAATGTACCACTAGGTAGCAAACTATTTATGTTAATTTTGATTTATTGTCCTCTTTTGTTTATATCCAAAGTATCATCGACTGCATGACTGTATGAGATGTTTTATCATGCTAGGTTTTCTTTAAATAAGGAGATAACACAGTCTTCAGTGATAAATCTGTGAAAAATAGATGCTGTTGACAGTAGTGTGAAGAAAGATGGGCTTTAAATAGGCTGTATGAACAGTAGGTATGGAAAAACTGATATTCCTGGACATGTTTTTAAATTGTTTGTAACTTTTGTCTGAAATATGAAAGCAATGGAAAAAAAGGCCCTTTGTAATGACCATACTGAAAATGAACTGAATGTTATTATTCTCAACACAGCTAAGTAAAAAACCTTTCCAGGTGATGAGCTATAGTGCCTTCAAGTCCAAAGAAAAAGTAAGGAAAAAAATAAAATTCAGCCAGTCACTTTAAAAGTAAGATCACAAGCAACCAGAAAATTGGTGGAAATCAATGAGATACCCTTCAAAAAATGAGGTTGTTGCACTGAATCCAATGCTGAGGTTCAGAAAAATAGTGTTAGAAATATGCAAGAGAAAGGTATCTTTACAGCAAAGTCCACTGTTAGTTTGTCAGCTACCACTGCAAAAAGTGCAAGTGAGTAGTGTGGGAAAAATAAGTACTGAGCAAGCAAGATTACCTTCACCAAGTGCTGGGGAGTTAATAGCTAGTTCAGTAAAGTAAAAACAAAAAAAAAACTTGGATAACCTCAATCATGGGCTGTGTTAAGACTGTCAAGTAAGAACATAAGAAAGGATAAGTATGAGAGGAAGTGATTCAGTCCATCTTGTTCATTTGGGTGTTGATTCAAGAATCTGATTAAACTGTTTCTTTAAGGATCTCAGAGACTCAGCTTCAACAACATGGCCTTAGCAGTTTGTTCAAGATACCCATGATTCTTTGAGTAAAGAAATGCCATCTATTATTAATTCTAAATGTATCTGCACTTAATTTGAAAATGGCCTCAATAGTGACTTTTTTAGTTTTAGTTTTTAGGCAATAAAAGCAGAAGATGCATGTAGCCTATTTTTAGTTTTGGGAATTTTTAAACTTATGTTTGCACTTTTTTGTACAATAAATGCTTTTTTTAAAATGTGTTTTTTTGTGTAAGCTGTATGTGCATATTTGTTTTGTATTTATAGGGCAACTGTTAAGATATAAACTGCTAACAATTTTCAAGTTGCTCCAGTTTGCAGGTTACATTTTTGGTAATGACTACTTTGCTTTACTCTCACCCCTGTATGAGGATAGGGTAAGTAGACCCTGTCACATCAGGTTTCTGAGCCCTTTAACATGTTTGTAATGGAACTGATTATTTATTGCCATTTCAATATGTTGTTGATCCAATTTAATGTGGTTCTGAGACCCTCAAACATATTATTCTTTCATTTCTTTTTAAAGCTACTGGACAATTTTTTTCTTGATGATTTATTCATGAGTGTATCATTTGGTCAGTTGTTCATGTTTCATCTCTTTTTTTTCTGGAATGCACCACCATTTTATTTTGAGTACCATAATTTGGGACTACTTGAGACAGCTGGTAACTTGAGATGCACATTGCATCATCCAATTACCCATGTTTGATTAACTTATTGGTTTCCACAATGTCATGATTCATGAAGAATGTGATTGGGTTGTTGTTTTGCTTATTTTTGTGATGTGTACACATGTTTGTGTGTGTTTAGTAATTGCTGACTATTTTTTATATTTGTATGAGTAATTGCTGATTATTTTTTATATTTGTGTGAGTAATTGCTTTACTTAGTAACTGTGTGTAAACAAATTCTTTATCCATTATTTTTAGGCTTAAGTCTTTGCATGAAAAGCATCTCAAAGAATATTCGGAAAACCTAAATTAAAAAGCAGATCTGGTTAACAAAGTAAAAAATATGGTAACTCTGTAGCAAGAATAAATTGAACATCCAGTTTATGAGTTGGTGAGACCAAATTCAGGGGATTGAGTGGGCTACAAAGGAGTGTCATGGTTTCCAGTATTGAAGTGTGTAAGGACCATTGTGATGATCTTGTTCTCTAACAGTAACATAGAGACCAGTTTGTTACAGTATTGTTGACTTCCTCAATAAAAAAACCACTGAGTAATCCAAGAACTGTTTGTTAACACATAAAGATGAATTACACTAAACAAGTTACATTCACATGCTGAGCAGCTAATCCAGTCAGGAACTTGTAGGTTTTCAGTGACATGGTATTGCCTGTAAAAGTTTTACTAATTATTAGAAACTACTAATGAAAAACTCACTGCATTTTTTTATAACTTAGCAGTGAAGTGAAGTATTTATATACTGCAGCTTAGCATATGTTAGTGTCATATGTTTACAATAATTAACATAACTGCCTATCACAAACGAATTAACAATAAGCACCTTATTCATTCATTATCATGTGACTATTGCATAATAGTGTTATGACAGTGGAAGTCACGTGATGCTGGTAACACGTGATGAATTTCTCGAATGATCATGAATTATCGAGGAAGACCGAGTTTGTTCAGGACGCTCTCCTTTTTAGTATATAAGCCTGGCAGAGAAAGTCTGTGGGATGAATGAAGAGAGTTCCGGGTAATTTACAATTCCGTTTCGAGCTAGTGTGTGTTTTGTTATTGAGATTTTGAATCACTGTGATTTATAGCGTGTATTATAAAAGTAGTTAATTTAAAGTGACGAGAAACAGAGTGAGTGTGAAATTACTGTGTACTAAAAGTTTTTATCAAGAAAGAGTAAACTGGTTTAATCCAGAAAGGACTTGTATCGCTGAAGTTCCTCGGAAAGAATTTCTCACAAACAAGCAGATACGCAACAATATCATATGCTGTAGTTGAAGCTTAGACATTATGATTGCAAAAAAAAAATGTAAGTAGGAATCCTGTAAGTTGTTATTGATGGAAGAAATATTTATATAATGCAATTATTATGTGCCAAAAGACTGCTGCATCTGAAAGAAATAATGCTAACCTAATTCCTCACAATTTAGAAACAAAACGAAATGTACTTACATAAAGAGTTCGATATGTTAACCTAACCTAAAAAAAACACAATGTCGAGAAATAACTTCTGAACAGTGTTTGGTCAAGAAGATGTAGAGTTTAGAGGTCAGATGGACTTTGTTCGGGTAGCACAAAATAGTAGAAGTGTTCAAATTGGCATACTATGATTGATCAAATAGAAAGTGCTTATGACTATTAGATTGTGATCAGTCTAAAACAGGGATAAAACCATTGATTGGTCCACATTTCTTCACATTCTGTGAAGGTAATGCTACCCTGGTGCTACTGTTACTGCCACTGTTGTCTCTGCTACAGCTACTGATACTACTATTACTACTGTCTCATCTTTCACACACAAGTCTAGCTTCTGCAAGTGACTTGATGAGTATTGTTTGTGATTATGGGCAGAAACTATCATAACAAAGACAATTATTATCAGACATGCTTTCCTTGACCATCTATATCAACAGAACTCATGAAGACCACAGAGGAAATGGCTTTATAGATTTAAGGAATCAAATCTTTTATTGCACATGTGTGGTCACTATCTTGTTTTGGATGGAGGTATAGGTTTTACTCCCTCATAACCTGGAAACTATTATGATTTTGGTCACACTGATGGGAGTTCAGATTCCAGATATTGCAAGGAGTTCAAATTTCCATTCAGAATTTTTTTAAAAAGAGAGGACCAAAAAGGTATATTCGAGAATAAACCCACCAGAAAATGTCTCCCTGACTCACAGACTGGCTATTAAGTAAAGTAATCTACTTTGTAAGTACATTTTGGGAGAATGTTGATTTTTCTATTCTTATGGCCTTCAAGTGTCTTGAATTGAAATACCAACATTCTATAGGTTACACTTTAGTTACTTAGTAGAACAATAGTTGTTAGACTTGGACTATCTGTGAAGAAATAACTGCAACTCCATGGGCAGTTTTTTAACTCAGGTTCAGTGAATGATTAGAGTGATGTTATTATAAATGTCTAGCATTACCTTTTCAACTTCAGGTTTAACAGTATTTACTAGTGAAACTAATTTTAAGGAGTACTGTATAATGGGTTCAAATTTGCTTAAATCAAGAGTTCGGGGTATTTGTTCTTACTAATAAGAGGACTGTAAGTACATGTTTCTTCATATCTTTGTGTCATCTAGGGTTAGCTGTTAAGAATCATGACTTTATCTCTGCTGCTTGATTTCTGTTTAAATAATAGGAGAAAAATTAAATTATAGAATTAAGAAGCAAGATACAATAAAATTTCCTTTCTTTATTTGTCTTCCAGGCCTCACACAAGTATTTCACAATTCATGATTTGGTAAACCATGAGTTCTACATGCAGAAAGGAAGAATCTACAACAATCAATTGGCAACAAGCTACCAAGATTACAGAGTTGAAACTGGACACTATTCCTCTTGAACTTTTTATGTTGATCTGTTCTTATCTGGATGCCAAGTTTGTCATTCATACACTAGGACAAGTGTGTCATCTCTTCCATGATCGTATTCAAGATGACCTAATATGGAAAATGAGGATCAGTAAACGATGGCCAAAGAAATACCCTTTAGTAGAAGGTATCTAATAGTATAATACATACTTTAGTATCATATCAATTTTTTTTTGTCAGTAATGCATTAGTAATAAAACTAGTAAGAGTGTAGGAATGATAAAAAATGGATCAAATATATGTTTAATAATTTGAGATTTTAAAATTAAAGGATCTTGATTTTAATAAATGGAATTTTGTTTGTTTTGCAAACCTGGGCTCTTAAAATGTGTTGAAATTGTCTGTCTTGTTAAATTGATTGATGGAACATAGTTTTGTATAAAAACAAAGTAAATTTAAGTAAATTTCCATACGAGTCACAGGTGAAAGGCCATATCATCACGTTTGTGGACTTCAAAATTTTATTAAACTACTATTTCCTGAATTTATGTCAGTAAATTTTGTATCAAACTGTAGATTATAATTCAAATTTTTGTACTATATGTTATTCAATTTCTTAATTTAAAAGCAAATATTAAAAAAACACAGATAAACATCGATTTTTGTGTGTCACATGGTATGTTGAATGCAGCACTGGTTCAAATTAGATGTTTGTTATGTCAAAATACTAAATCTATAGTTTCGAATGAATTAGAAACTCAACTTACCAATATTAACAAGCTAAAATATAAAATAAGAAAGTCTTATCTTTTCAATTTGCTAAGTCGTTCGAAACTAAAGACTTAGTATTTTGACTTTACAAACATCTAATTTGAACCAGTGCTGCATTCAACATACCATGTGAC